CATAGCGAGACCCTGTCTCAAAAAGACAAAAAATAAAAAAACAAAAAACAAAACAACAAAATAAAACTTTTTTTTCTCCAAAGAAAACTGGGGCCCATGTGTGAGTCTGCTGGCATGAGGGTCCTGCTCCCAACTCACATGGGTAACATTTTTCTCTACTGACCCTGAGGTATTTACTCTCCCTGTAGAGGAATCTGTGGGTAAGGGTAGAGGTGGGGGCCAAAGGACAGAGAGATATTGGAAGGGAATATTCCTGAAGGTGAGCTGGTACTTTCCATCCCTGAGGAAGCGTCCTTGATCTTCATACCCAGAGTCCATCTAGGGAGGGTGAAAGGGCGTGGAAGAAGGCAGAGAAAAGAAGATGAGGAGGAGAGACTTATGTCACTGCACAAGCGGCCTTGGCTGTTATCTGCACATCACCAAGAAGGAAGGGCAAGCTCACGCACTGCTCGTAGCCGTGTGTGCTGGCAGAACTTTTTATAGAAATTTGGTAAATAGGTCAAAACTCACCCAGTACTCCCACTTTCAGAAGTTTGTGTCCAACAAAATTATGAGCCCAAGGCCACAGAATGTGAAAGCAAAGATGTCCTCTGGAGCGTTACTCCAAGAATCATGAAACAGGTACTTTTATTTTGTTCTAGGTTATTAGTGTCGGTTGCTATTACATAATGGTGGGGTATTTTTAGGAAGTTCACACATGCATTTAGTGTAGCTTAATTTCAATCCATTACCCTCTTCTTGCTTTCCTTCCCCCCTCCCAAAATGGGTACTTCCATGATCCAGGAATGGAAAACAGAGGCAGTCAAGTTGATCCTACACTATGCAGTGTGACGCAGCTGTTTAAAAATGTTGAATTTTTGTGTTGGTGTGGAAAGACGTATGGGAGAAAAATGAATGGATTGCTGAATGATACGTATAGTATGGCTCAGTTTTCTGGAAAAACAGTACCTAGATTAGGGCGTAGACCAACATCAGCAATGATGGTCACCTTTCAGTTAAAACGGTGCTGACCTCTGGGAATGAGACCGAAGAAGGGTCTGCAGGGGAAGCTTTCACTTTTTATTTGCCATTCTTCCGTATGCTGGAACTCTCCAGGGCTGGGAGTACAGCTCAGTGCTAGACACACTTGTTTGGTGTGTGCAAGGCCCTGAGGTTGATCCATAGCACACTAAAGCGGTGGGGGGGGGGGTCTTCAATTTTGTCCAGTTGATAACCACTGTGTGGGTTTCTCAGAGCCAGCCCTGGGAGTACAGGGGAGGAGGAGCTTGGAGGCGCAGCGCAGTGAAAGGGGCAGGACCCTGGCTGTTGTCCTGATTTGTTCGGCACACTTGGGCCAGCCACCTCCTCTCTTTGGGCTGAGGCCAAACATGTGCTGATATGTGTGTTGGAGGTAGGGAGTGTGGCTGTGCAGGGCTCTGGAGCGTGTCAGAGCCGTCCATTTTTAAAACACTGGACCTGACCACAAAGTTGTTGGTATCTGAATGGGAAGGCAAGGGTGGAAGTAAAGTGAAGTCAGACTTCGAGGAGTCCACTGCAGAGGGCCGCTGAGCAGAGCTTTGCCCACCCACCCTCACCCTCAGTTAGAACCTCGGGTCTGGGCAGCTTTGGGGAAACCACAAGAAAGCCTTCTTTTCCTGTGAGCAGGACCAGCCAAGTCCCGAACCTGAGCCTCAGGTCTCCAAAAGGCAGAGCAGGCCCTGGATCTCATCTCAGCCTTGATTCTCCTGCCAAGGCAGGTAAGCTCTGGGCGGCAGGTGTTCGCTCAGCACAAGCATGTGCCGAGTGTCTAGCCAAGACCCTGGGTCAGGAGGGAGTGCGCTGCCCATCTCTGGAAGAACCCTAGAAGGCTCGGCACAGAGGCCGGTGGCCCCTCAGGGAAAGGGCGGAAGGAGTCAGGTGAGGCAAGCCTTTTCATCGTCAGTTCTCCGGGCTTGGAGAGAAAAGGAAATTGAGCGCTGGCTTGGGGAAGAGTCAGCGTATGAGCTGGACACTGGGAAGAGGGGGACCCCAGGGAAAGGAAATGTGACAGTGCTGAAAGGGACTTCTGACACCCACCCTCAAGGCAGGACACACAGCCATCATAGTTCACCTGGGGCTCCAACAGCTGAGATCACTTGCCCAAGGTTATACAAGTTAAGGGTTATTATTATTATCATTATTATTATTATTTTATCTTTTTGAGACAGGGTCTTGCTATGCAGTTCAGGCTGGCCTTGAGCTCACTTTGTAGCCCAGGCTGGTCTCCAACTCGCAACGATCCTGCTGCCTCAGCCTCCCAAGTGCTGGGATTGCAGGCGTGCACCACCATGCCTGGCCAAGTTAAGTTTAAAACTGAGCTTTTAAAAAAAAAAAAAAAAAAAAATTGTAGCTTTTAAAAGTTCAGAGGGTCCCCAGGGAAGGGCTGTCAAGCAGCCAGTGGGTACAGCCAGAATGGTCATTCGTCTAGTGGTTAATTAGTAACTGGAAGGCCCTGCCGGCAGCTCCCGGCTGACAGGACTGGGAGGTTGAACTCTTGCTGGTTTGAGAGGCAGGCGAGTGGGTGACAGGTCGTGCCTGCCAAGGAAGGTTGCTTGGCGAGTTCGGATTGGGTTCCGGGCAGAAGGACCATGCAGAGAGAGGGCACAGCTCTCCGGGACCTGCACTGGGACCGGAGTGACCAGGTGAGAGGCTCGCCTGTGGGCAGGAACCTGCCTCTGGCCTGTCAGTCTGCTGAGCGGACTGCGTCACCCAGCTAGCTTCCCTCCTACTGTTTCCTTTCCGCCCACCTCATGCCTTCCTTTTCTCCTCCCGAACTTCTTTCCTCTCTGCCTTTCTTTCTTCCTTTTTTCTTTCTGATTTTCTTTCTTCTTTCCTAACCTCGTTCCTCTCTCTTTTCTGCCTAGAATTTTTCTTTCCAAATACATCTTCACTTCCTCCCCACTTTTATTTCTTCCTTTTTCTAATTTCTGGTTTCTCAAAATTCCAGGCCATAGTTTTCAGAGTCACACTGGTTCAGCCAGGGTTCAAATCCTAGTTATATCATTAATCTCTTTTCTTTTTCTCCTTCTCCTTCTCCTTCTCTTTCTTCTCCTCCTCCTCCTCTTCCACCTTCTCCTTCTCTTCTTCCTCCTCCTCCTTGAGTGTGTGTGTGTGTGTGCGTGTGCTTGTGTGTGTGTGTGTCTGGGGATTGAGCTCAGGGCCTCTTCCAAGTTAGGTACATGCTCTACACTAAGCTATACCCCCAGTCCCCTTTTTTCTTAACTTTTGAGACAGAGGTCTCACTAAATTGCTCAGGCTGGCCTCAAACTTGTTGGGGTTTTTTTGTTTGCTTTTTGTTTTTGTTTTTGTCTTTTTGAGACAGGGTCTTGCTATGTAGTTCAGGCTGACCCTGAGCTCACTTTGTAGCCCAGGCTGGTCTCCAACTTGCAATGATCCTCCTGCCTCAGCCTCCCGAGTGCTGGGATTACAGGCATTCGCCACCATGCCTGGCTTGTTGTCTTTCTGCCTCAGCTTCCCAAATAGCTTGAATTAAACAGCTGATCTGTTTTGATCAAGTCACTTCCCCTCTCCAAGTCTGTTTCCTCCTCCTTAAAGCAAAGATATGATGCTTCCTAAACTTCTTTGAAGTTGAGGAAAAAAATAAGACTATGCTGGTCCTTGAGCCAGTCAGGCAGGTAAATACTTGGACTACGGTGGAGGAGAGACAGGTGCAACAGCAGAGGCAGGTACAAGGACTAGGGTGTCCGGCAAGGCTTCCAAGGAAGGCAGATGAGGGCCCATGGAAGGGTGAGCAAGCAGACCCAGTGAGCTGAGGGAATGTTCTAAGGAGGGAGAACGTGGTGCTCCTCCCCCACCGCATCCTGCAGCCCAGGCAGATGTGAACAGGTGCACAGAGTGGTGGGATGGGAAGGCAGACCTAGGCTTGGTCACTTAGGGGAGGGACAAGCTTGAGGACTTTAGAAGGGATGAGGGCAACCCCCTCAGAGTTCACAGGGGCCCCTGTAGGTCAAAGAGTCAGGAGAAGGATACGGATCAGGAAACGACAGACCATGGTGCAAGAGAAAAGGAAGCCTTAGGAACTGAGGGCTGCTCAGGCGTGGGGATTATAATTAAGGTGATGGCGGGTAATGAGCATGTCAGAGCTCCCACCAGTACTTTATACTTAGACGCTAAGTGAACAGCAACCTCATGAGAAATTTTACACAATAGCTCAGAAATAGGGCCGGGGATATAGCTCAGTGGCATAAGTACCTGCCTGGCAAGCACAAGGTCCTGAGTTTGATTCCCAGTACCGAGAAGAAAAATCTTAATAGCTCAAAAATAAAAATAACCTAACCCAACAACTTAGTGTCATGGCCTCCTGCCTTTTGTGTGTCTGTGTGTGTTTGTGTATCTCTGTGTGTGTGCACATACAAATGTACGTGTACATGTTGCTGTTTTTTTTTACTTTTACAAAATGGATACCCCTAGTGCACCTACCATCTTGAAATTTGCTTTTTTTTTTTTTTTTTGCTTGATATTTCTTCTGATATATGTTTCTCTTTTGATTTGCGTAGGCTAATATACAACTTTTGATTTTAATTTCCGTTTTATTTATGTATTTATTTTTGGAACCAGGAATCGAACTCAGGACCTTGCACTTGCCAGGCAGGTGCTGTGCCACTGAGCTATATCCCCAGCCTCATAATATCCATTTTATATGTAATTTATAAATTTATTACTTGGTCTCATTAGTTAGGTATGTTCTGAATACCTAAAATATTCCCAGCCCATTCTAGGTACAGAGGGTTCAATAGCGAACAAAAAAAAAATCTTCGTTTTCCTTGGAGCTGATGATCTAGTTTGGGACAGTAAATAAAAGTGTTTAAATAGTAGCACAGTGCCAGAGAGTGATAAGTTCTACAAAGTAAAGTATAGGGAGAAGAGAGAAGAGGTAAGAGAAGGTAAATTATATGCATGTATGAAAATGTCACAAAGACACCAATATTTTGTTAAATTAATATGTGCCAGTAATTTTTTTTTAATTTTTTGTCTTTTTGAGGCAGGGTCTCGCTATGTGGTTCAGGCTGGTCTTGAGCTCACTTTGTAGCCCAGCCTGGTCTCAAACTTAGATTGATCCCCCTGTCTCAGCCTCCCGAGTGCTGGGATTACAGGCATGCGCCACTACACCCGGCTATGCCAGTAATTATAATTAAAAAAGAAAGTTTTGATAAATATGTCAGCTAAAAAAAGGAAAGGAGAGAGAAGAAAGAAAGAAAGAAAGAAAGAAAGAAAGAAAGAAAGAAAGAAAGAAAGAAAAAAGAAAGAAAGAAAGAAAGAAAGAAAGAAAGAAAGAAAGAAAGAAAGAAAGAAAGAAAGAAAAAGAAAATACACAGTACAAAGGTGCCTAGGGAGTGAGCAGGAATATTTTAAAGTTTGACCAACCACCTTCATTTGCCCAGGATCGTACTGGTTTTAGCACTGAGAACCCTACGTCCCAAACAAACCAGGAAAACTGTTGTCTGTAATAAGCACAGGCCTCTCCAAGAGGTGACACCGAAGCAGAAACTTGTGTCATGTCAGTGAAAAACAGCCATGGATAGGCCCAGGGAAGAGCTTTTCAAGCAGAGGGAAAATAAGCACAAGGGGACAGAGGTGAGAGGGTGCTTTGTGCGTTGGGCCACAGCCTGAGCAAGCCAGGGAGCTGGGTGGGACGGAGGAAGAGGGCGGATGCCCTGGGGACAGTCACTTACATAATGTCCTCCATCCCTGTTGCTACAAATGACAAATGTGATGGAGTTTTGAGCAATAGAAGCACATGATCTCATTTACATTTTGAAAGACTATTGATGGTGAAAGATTGTGTAGTATCAGGTGAAGACAGAAAGGGAAGGCCGGGCGTGGTGGCACATTCCTGTAGGAGAATCACTGTGAGTTCTAGGCCAGCTTGGCCTACAAAGTGAGTTCAAGGCCAGCCTGAGCTGCATAGTGAGACTGAGCTACATAGTGAGACCCTGTCTCAAAAAGACCAAAATCAAAATAAAAAAAGATAGAGGGAAGAGTGAAGGGAATACAGAGAGAAACAATGACAAGTAGTGACGGGGGCTACAGCAATGGTGGTAAGTGGCAGCGGGCTCCGCAGATTTTATGTAATTATTTTGTTTTTAATCGACACATGAAAATCATACATATTTGTAGTATATTTCATGCATGTATACATTGTGTAGTGACCAAACCATGATGTTTTACATATCACCTCAAACATGGATTAGTTCTCCATGGTAAAAATACTCAAAATCTTCTCTAGTTATTTAGGAACATAGTCACTTTACTCTGCAATAAAAGAACAGAACTTGCAGTGGGGCATGGTGACACATGCCACTCAGGAGGCTGAGGCAGGAGGATCTTTGCAAGTTTAAGACCAGCCTGGGCTACAAAGTGAGCT